GCTGCTGGAAAGAGTGATGACAACTCGCAAAACCCATCGTCTATGTGCTCGTCATCGCCGTCTTCTCCTGTTTCCACAAGTTCCGCTGTCTCGAAGCCTGCCTTGCAGAAGCATTTGACCACTGTGTCCATCTTCACGTCACGCCCGGCGTTGAAGATCTCTGTGGGAGAAAACTTCGCGGAGATTTCCGGCCACTCCTCCGTCGTCTATTGCTAGATGTCCAGACTGCTTACAGCTTCGCGTTCGCCAAAAATGGTTGTGCCAACAATGTTGTAGTTCTGCTTAAATCAGTGAAGCCACCCGGTGTTGTCGGCAAAGTTGTTTCATCGAGTGCAGCGGCAAACAATTTGGCCTTGCCCATCAGCATTAGGCTATCCACCGGAATGTTCTTCGTGTGCACTTCTAGAAACCAGGCATAGACTGCCTTTTCTACATTCCCGTGGGCAGGAGCACACACACGTCAGGCTCCGGATGTTCGCTGCTCCGCCGCCTTTACCTTGATATCTGCTTTGTTCTTCAAGAAGGCACTCATAGTGCTCCGAGGTATCCCGAATTTGTCCGCAACGGTCGAACATTTCTTGCTCGCCTCAACAAGCTGAATAGCCTTCAACTTCGTCGCAAAGTCAAGGGTCTTGCGCTTCTTGACGCTGGCCATAGCCACACAAGAAGTTGACAATTCAAGGAGTCGGCAGCAGCTTTGCACACCACATATGTAAAAGAAGAATGCTGCACATGCAGGAGTATGTAGGCGACGCAGCAACAGAAGCAACAAAGCGTTCGTGAGGTGATGGTCACTTGTGAGGGCAACAGCAAAAGGCACGAGTTGTGGTTGGCTGATCAAAACTCGCAAAACAGCAACAGAAAATATAAGGTGAAAGGAGAAGGACGTCAGCTCCTTTGTTCCTGCTCTCCGAGCCGACGGGCACGTGGAGAAAGCATGAAGAAGAGAAAGAAAAGCGGAAGCCGTTCCGCAGAGATTGTGCAGTCCGAGCCTTCATGCCCTTATTTTTTTTTTATAGCGTTTCGGATTTTGGCGGAGCCTCACTGCCGCATAGATCCTGGTGTGCAGCGAGTGCTGAAACGCATCTTCCAGCTCGCCTGGCGCTCACTATATCCGAAGTCGGGCGAAAATGCCGTTCGATATAAATGTGCGAATTTATATACATTTACAAAGGAATTTTAAGGGAATAACTTCAAGTTGGATATACCCGAAAATTCGATATATGTGGGTTCCATATATACGTGTTCAACTGTAGAAAAAAAGGTGCAAGAAACTGAAAATTTAATTTTCAATACATCGTTTTTATTTTTCATTACTTGTGATTCAAAAGCCACGTGCCTCCTTAATAATATCTGCTTATAATAAGCTCTACATGGGATTGTCGTGTTCATTAGTCATCGGCTTTCTTCGATGTTTACTACTTGGCTTTTTTCACGCCTGGGGGGACACGGGTCTTTGGAGCCGAAAAATCGCCAAAAAAGCAATTTTTTGTAAACAGCATTTTCAGAAACTACAGGTATTTTTTTACAGGTGTACTGACTTTCATATCTCTCCGATCAATATTTTAGCTGTAATATTAAATTCCTAGCCCGTGCGCGTGCGGAATTCGCGCAGCTCCGGACACCAAAAACCAGCTTTTTATAAATTCGTAACTCCATGTCCACAGCTGCACTCGCGGCCATTTTGGTATCGTTTGAAAGAGCAGTTTTTCGCCTTCAAATTCCCGCCACTGTCGCTTCTGTGCGTTCATTGGTTGCGGAGAAAACAACCATCAAAAAAGAGTAAAAACGCATGCTACGATTGGTTGTTTAGTGCACGTGACCGTTTCTCAGAGCATGATTGGCTGAAGTCGGCTTGTGGCGTCTGCTCTGGCTGCGTTGTGCGCGCTTTGCTGGCCCCCGTCGGCGCCATTCCTGAATTCTGCGATCGACGATGGAGCGGTGTGCGTCGGCGTCTCGAGCGGGAAAGTTCCACTCAGTGCACAGATTCGGAAAGAAAAGAAAAAAAAGCCTCATCGCTAACACCACGAAGCGTCGGGCAGCACCAGCAGCGAGCGTCGAGGACGGCCGGTCATCAGCGCCAAGCATCGCCGCCGCCGAGCCAGCTGGTGTAGGCCTAACGGCTCCACCAGCGTGTGAAAGTGCGAGTGGAAGTGGCCGCGTTCGCATTGATACAAAAATCCTGCAGCCAGCAGAGTTGCACGAAAATGCGAGAAATGCCGAAGCCAAGCTACAAGAGCTGGCGTCAATTTCAGCAACGATGCGAAAACAAGATCGCCTGGCTGCTGCCAGTGACGGTGCCGCGGCCGACTCGGCTGACAACGTGAGCTTCGTCGTCATCAGCTTAGACTGTGTGAATGACTTGTTGAGGTGCGTGAAGTGTAAAACTTGCGGCGGTGATGTGAATATCAGCAAATGCGATCGGGAGTACGGTCTGGCTGTGAAGCTTTTGATTACGTGCGTCAACTGTGGTGACATTTCGTCAGCGTGGAGTTCGCCGCGTGTGGCCGGGGACCAAAACATAAACCCATTCAGCGTCAACATCCTCGCAGCGCGTGCAATGCAAAGCACCGGCAATCGTCAAACGGCGCTCAACGACATTTGTTCTGCCATGAATATATCGCACCGGGGTCTGCTCACGAAGACGTGGCAAAACTATGTGAAAAAAAAACTGACGCCTGCAGTGGCCTCTGCTTCCGAGGAGTTGATGACCGAGTGCGCGAGTTCCGTTCGAGAGCTCTATCGCGAGCTCGGTACAAACATACCTGGCAACATCGCCGTTTCCTACGATGGGTCTTGGATGACTCGCGGACATTCTTCCCACATCGCCGTCGGAACGGTGATTGAGCTTTTTACAGGGTTTGTATTGGACTATGTTGTCTTGAGCAATTTCTGTGCAGCCTGTGAGCAGAAGCCTAAGGAGAACGACCCTTCGTACCAAACGTGGGTGGAAAACCACCAATGTCAAAAAAACACCAGCAAGAAAGCTGGTGAAATGGAAGTTGAGGCCGCACTTATCCTTTTCCGAAGCTCTCTCTCCAAACACAACCTCCGCTACACAACCGTGTTGTCAGACGGAGACAGTCGGGCCTACCTCGCTTTGCAGGAAGAAAAGGTGTACGGCTACATGGACATCCTGAACGAGGACTGCGTTAGCCACGTCCAGAAGCGCATGGGGACAAACCTGCGAAAGCTGCTTTCCCAGCACAAGGGGCATGGCCTTGGGGGCAAGGGCAGACTCACTGGAGATTTGGTCAACAAGTTGACATCATATTATGGGTGGGCCTTGAAGTCCCACAAGGGGGATGTAGATGCAACGCACAGGGCTGTTATGGCAACCTACTTACATGTCACTTCACGTGATGATGCACCCAACCACAGCCTTTGTCCAACAGGCCCTGACTCGTGGTGCCGGCAAAATGCAGCCGAGGCCAAAGGACAGCCGCCGCCAAAGCACCGCTACAGCTTGCCCGCCCATGTGTGTGAAGCGTTGCTGCCTGTCTACGAGCGCTTATCGGATAGGAAGCTGCTGGAGCGGTGCCAGCGTGGCAAGACGCAAAATAACAATGAAAGCTTGCACGCCATGATCTGGGCGCTTGCACCAAAGGAGCGGCACGCTTCACTGTTTACTGTTGAGGCTGCTGTCGGTGAGGCCGTCATGAAGTTCAATGCTGGCTATACAAGAGCTGCAACAGGCATCCTCAAAAAGCTCAGCCTGACCCCTGGCCGGCAAAACTCAAAACGCCTGGCAGAGAAGGACAAGCGGAGGATGACCGCATCTGCTCGAAAGCATGTGTCGGCTGAAAATGTGAAGCAGGCCCTGGGAAAGCGCCACAGAGTTGACAAAGGTCAAAAGGACTATGTTCCTGGTGGATACTAGGCACTTGCTAGTGTAAGCATGTAAATATTTCCTGGTGTTTCCCATTAAATTTGACATTTTGTGTTTTTGCTCATTTTCTCAAAAGCTGAATTTCTGACTTCTTGCAAGCTTGCCGAAGCAATATCTCAGCACTGCGGGTAGATAGAGCTATAATTCTTTTTTTAGGACAAAGCCAATGGGGTGGTGTTTGCAATGTAGCAAACAGATTTTTGAAATTTCTTTCGAGCAAATTTTAAATTTGCTTTATTTCTGGGTGACTGGTGGCACTATTTCAAGTGCTCAAGTTCAGTTAGCTGTAAAATCTCTTACAAGCAATTAATAAAAAAACTGCTTGCTATGTTGCAATCACCAGTGTTTCTAGTATCTGACATATGCAGATTATAGTTTTTTGATAAATACTTTTTTTTTCTATTGTTACGGAAGAACATGGCGGATTACCTCTAATTATCTTGAGAACTAATTGGCTGATGGAAAAAATAATTGCATATTTCAAATCAGCAGAAAAAAAGCAACAAGACTGGCAAGTTTCGTTAAGTTTGCTTAAAAAGTAAGCGAAATTGTTTCAAGACCCATGTCCCCCCTTAAGTACTGTAATTGCACGGGGCTTTCTGCCTGCAGCGTGAGGCCCCGAGTCTGCTGCCACAGCCGCGTCTGTGTACAGCGTGCGAGCAAGCGGCTTTGCGCTGGGGTGCAACACCGAGCGTTGGTTGCGGGCTCTTCATGCGCGGCCTAATATGCTGACCTGCTTTGCATAAATGACAACATTGAAAAGCACACCTTTAACCAAAGATGCACGCTCCCGCAAGGCACTATTGGCATCTCCATTCGAAAAGACCGCGTTTTGACTGCTAATGAGTTGCCGACAGTGCTCTGAAGGAGCAAGCATCTTCGGTTAAGCAGTTGCACCTTTCAACGTTGCCACTCATGCAAAGCAGGTTAGCATGTCCATTTGGCCGTGCATCTTGGGCACACTACACCATGTATCGCACTGTAAAGCAAGGCCGTCTGCTTGCGTGCTATACACAGACGTAGATGCAGCTGTACATGCTTGATGTTTGTGTGTGACCGAGGAGTTGCACAAGTGCCAAAACGCAACATGTGGTGCCTCTTGTTTTTGCAGACATGCAAACAGGCTCGGAGGGCGGTCCAGTACGGCTCATACCAGTTCCTGTGCCAATCTATGTTCCAACACCCATGCACATGTTCTCCCATGCTGTACCGACTCCACTGCCCATTCCCATTCCAGTGCCTGTGCCTATTTTCCTGCCTACAACAAAGGACACCTCAGAACAGATCATGGAAACTCTAAAGGAGCTTAGGGTATGTTGTGCCTCTAGTGTTTACTTGTGCTACTGTCGTTGCACTTATCTTGCAGCTCTGAAAAACATTAGAGATACGTACCATAACATACTGTGGAAGGATCCATTATCATTTCCTCAAAAAATCGCATTAATCTCAATATGAGCATTTCTCTGGGCGAAGCAGTAAAAGCCAAAATGACAGCCAAAGAAGAAAGCCAGGGCTACAATGGTTACATCATTGAAAAAATTGTGTTTATTTTTCAAGTGGTAAATGATGGGGTACGCTAGCACCCATTCATTGTCACTGACCCAGTGAACAATCTTCCGAGTCGGTCCGGTATACAAATACAGTGAAATCTTGGTATGATGAACATCAGGGGGCCGCGGCAATTTGTTCGTTATTTTAAAAGGTTGTTATAGTGAAGGCCCAAAAATTAACCACAAATAATTATTTTCCATTGACCAAAATGATTTACCTTCACAACAGTGGGTCCTCCCTTCACAACAGTGGGTCCTTGAACTCGTTTTTTACGGCAAAAAACAAATGCTTACGGGAACACTAAAAAAATGCACGTTTACTTTTAAAAAGTCTACGAATTTTTTTTAACGCGTGCAGCAGAAACTTTGCAGCACGAAGGTCTACAGCTCATCCACATTCCTGTGGTGCAATTTGGTTCTTTGGTCACAACAGCCTGCTTTTTGACTTCCAGTTGGCAAAGAATATCTATTGTCCTGCTTTGCCAAAACTGCTTCCGTTTCTTCGTCGCAAGCAGAGAGGAACTCATTTGTAGTATCACCACAGCGCGAATGCCGACTTGATTTGCGGACGCAATAAGTAATCACCGAAAAGAGATGTACACGACTGAAAAAACAAGACCTCCAAAGAAAAAACTGAAGCGTCACGGCTGTCATCGCCTCTTTAGAAGAAAAAAAAAAAAGTGCCGAAAAAAAATTCCTCTCGTTTCGTTTTCCGCTCTCCTGCTGTCTCAGGTTTTCCGCACCCATGTTTCCTGCTCCGCAACTCCCACTCTGCCTCGCTGACTTTGCCCTCCCGTGTTGCCCTTGCCTCTGCGCTCGCTTGTAAACCTGCAGTGTCGGCGTTTCAACAAAAAGAAAGAAAAGAAAGTCGCCCTTTTGTTTTTGTTTTTCCTCCACACTGTCGCGCGTCTTCCGAAAAGCAAGACATCCATTCGCTTTGTCGTCTGCTTGCGTACTGCTCCGGTGGTCACGACGGATTTCAGAACATAATTTCGTAGTACTGAAGTGTTATTAATATAACGTGGAACTAAATTAACGCTCGTTTATTTGAAGGGCCTAGTAGTGAAATAATTTTACATTGAAACTATTGGCAGTCGGTACGGGATTTTTAAAAGTTAGTTCATCTGAAAAGTTCATTATTGTGAAATTCGTTCTACCGAGATTTTACTGTAAACCTGCTTATAACGAAACTTAATTTAACGAATTCCTCAATATAACGAAGTTTTTCTATTCCCCACCACTGCTCCATAGAGGCACATGTATTTGCGACCCATATGTAACAAAGTAACAACCTTGTAGGAACTCCGTTGATGCGTTTTTCAGCAGACCGGGTAGGAAAAACATAACAGCGAGAAAACGCAAGAGTGAGGAAAGCTTTGAAAATGAATGAGAGTACAGGCGCTTTGACTACAAACAATTTATTTCGGCAAAGTGAGCCTAGGACCTAAACTATTTGAAGATATTTGACTTCCACTTCTTATGCTCGCTGGTAAGCACCACTTGTTTCTCGATGATCTGGAAAGCCGCATTGCTTTCAGCGTCGCATGGGTGTGCAACGTACCTGCGAAGGTGGTCCAGGGCCGCGACGGCTTCACCACTTCACCAAAGTTGAGATCGGCCGACTCCACTGCCAATTCTTCAGAATCGTGTGACTCGTTCTTATAGCCGTTATCAATATCCTCATCTTCAGTTGCAATCCAGTTTGCAACGATCTCTGCGATTGTCTGGCACTCTGACGTCGCGGCGGCAGCATCCGCAGCGATTGTCGTACGTCATAACCGTGGCACCCAGCGCATTCATTGCCTCATTGAGCTCTTGCTCACTAGAGCCTGCTTCTGATTATTGAGCTTCGATGACAGGCTTCGCTTTGCTGTTCATACGGAACCCACACCTCATGAAGCAGTCCTTTGTAGTTGACGCAGACCACTGCTTTGCGAGGTGTGGGTTCGCCTTTCTATATATTTTTTGCTATCCCGTTTAACTCTTTCGTTACGGGGTAAAACTGGCCGATTTACAGTGCTTTCAGGAAAACATTTTTTTTTTCTCTAAAACAACTAAGCGCATTTAACATTACAATACAGTCGAGCCCACATATAACGGCCCCACTTAAAACGAGTTTTCACTTTGTGGGAATCTGAGGCGCGCCCGCGACCATTTCGCGGGCATTCCGTCACACGGCCACACCCTTTTGCTTTTTCTGCTCTGGCAACGGCGCGTGGCGATAGATGGCGCCACGTGCGGGCGCGGCACGTGCTATGTGCACGCCGAGGGAGCTCTCTCTCCTCCGTGGTCGGCGCCGGGTAAGCACGTGTTTCATTTGTCTGCGTCCCCTTTGGGAATCGCCAGACTGTAGCCTGCCAGGGGTGGCCTTTGGCACCTCGGCAGGCGTGTTTACTTGAGTGCTAGCTTCGGTGCCGTACGCTAAGCCCACAGTGGTGCCTAGTGCTTGAAGTGGTCGTACCACACCGAGCTGCACTTGCCGTAGGCCTACGGGTACAAGGTTTGCCCTAACACTCGCGACCAGGCCCAGTGGCCATCGTGAGAGTGCGCAGCGTAGCCGCAAGGGACCTTTTCCCGACCGGCGTGTCAAAGCTTGACATTGCCTGCTGCGACGTGCTCGCGGTTGCCCCTTATCGTGAACGTCCGCGTGCGGGAGCCTTTGCTCTCCACGTTCCGAGAGCAGACGTTGTACTGTTGTTTGGGGTGCTGCCAAAGGCAATAAAGTGTTGTGTATTTTTGTAACACTGTCTGTTTTGCCGCGCCGCGCTAATTGCCTTATTAGGTGAGCGCGCACGGAGCGGTACGCTACACGCGAGTAGGTGGCGGAGTCGCTGCCCTGTGGCTCGCTAAACGTGAACCCGCGGTGATCATCCGCTACAGTGAGTAGCGGGGTCACCATACTGGCGCCCAACGCGGTATCAAAGGCTCATTAAGCCTTTGATTAGTCTTAGCCGAGTCAGCCCGCCTTTGCGAATCAGGCTCCCCGTAATTACCTGCGTTATGTCTGCTCCGCGTGAGTTTTGTTCGCTGACGCTTTTAGCAGATATCGCATTGCTCGAGAACAGGGCCAGTTCCCCCCTTGAGCATCACAATCGCGCACTCTCAATTGTCACAAGCCCCAGTCGGGATGACACGAGGCGCTACGTAACAGCTCCCACCGGAGAGGTAGGCTGTTATGAGTCTGGGGCCATAGTCCAACCCGAACAGTGCACACGGGCGAATTGGACTACTACTGCTCCCTTTGGAATGCATGGCAGGCAGTTCCATGTCACAGCGCTCCGAAACGGCTCTCAGTGGAGCTTCTGGAGTGCAGATCGGCATTGCGGCCTCAGCCGTTGCCAAATTTTGCCTGTTGGCTACTACGCAATCTAGCAGCCAGGCTCATTTCGAGCATGCGCCTGTACTGCTAGCCGCAAGTGGCCTAGCCATTTCACGTGAAGCTGCCCCAAGAGGCAGCTGTGAACAACAGGCGCTTCCCAATGTCGCGACGGCTGGTATCCATTTTGAAACCGCGCCGCTTATCGAGCTCGGAGACACTTCCCCATCGCTCGCCCGCGCCGCTAATGCACCGACAGCTTCCTTTGAAGCGGGCGCACAGATGCTGCTGCGAAATGTCGTCCAAATGATGCAGGCACTCACAGGGGTAGTCCCCTGTGAGTAACTCTACAAACAAACTCTATACACAGCATAGACTCGCTCATGCCAAAGGTAATCTCACAACCTTGGCAACACCTTGAGATCGAGACAAGCCAATTTAGTAGCCATTCTCGCTTGTGGCTGTGGGAGCGAAGTTAGAGTGTACTAGAAGGGAAAGTGTGCAGTGCGCGGCGCGTTCCGATGGAGGCGAGGGGGCCCTTGCAGCGATGAAGCAGGCTGAGTACAGCCTGGGGGCGCTAGAGGACGCTGCGAGCCAGAGGAGCGCGTGTGTCAACAGATGTTGCACTGTCAGTTTGGCTAAGGTGGCATATTCTAGGGAATAGTTTGGCTGTCAACGCGTGACCAGTTCTTCGTTGCGGGTATTTTTCGCATTGAATAACTCTGCTCCCCACCAGATTGCTCTGTACATGAGTGAACAAATTACGGGGGTGTTTGCGCTTGTCTACTGGAATGAGAGAAAATGGCTGGGAGACAGCTGGACAAGTGAGACGGCTTTTGCTTTGCGCCAAATTGTAACAGCGGCTGCCGCTCGTGTAAAGCGGTGCACTCCTTATTTAGGGTGCTGTTGAAGCTGACCGCCGGGAATCATGGTCGCGGAACATCAAGAGAGGTGGTCGAGTCCTCGACAAGAGCAGCGCTGTTTGTGAGCGACACATCGAAGCAAGGTTCATACAGCGAGCTTTCAAGACGACTATTGACGCTAAGGTTATTGAGATCTCCAGACACTTACTACTCTTATTAAATGATGCCATTCCTGCAATTTTCCCTGATGCTTCCAAGTACCTTTCAAAATCGCAGCCGAAAAAACGGAAGGATCGCAACCTTAATTAGCGCTCAGATTTTCCTCAAACCGCAGCGAAGACGTTAGAGAGAGCAACGTTGTCAGAAGTTGAGTTCAACGATGGTGATCAAGGCAGTTCAGTCGATAATATTCCTGAACAGGAATGCCAAAGAATGTTGAATGATGTTGGCCGAGACGGTGCCACTGATAAAGCTCCTGACGAAGAATTTCAAGGGCTGTCTTTTTCAAGGCTCACCATTCTAAATGAGTGCACGGTCGGAAATTTTCCTGCCATGTTTTGGGGGCTCATTGCTTTATGCTGA